GTTCTAGGAGTTTAGGACTTCAAGAATAGGTTTTTCGTGTTTCAAGAATTTTCATTCATGTCATCACCAAACATCAAGAATATATAACAGAACGAAGTCGAATGAACAGAATATTCAGAATATGATGTTTATGTGATGATGCTGATGCTATGCTTGCCGATGCTTGCTGTTCTGCAATCAAACACTCGGTCAGCTTTTTTTATCGCTCACCCCGCCACCGAAGTCTGGCTTCAATCAACCACTTCTGCGCTGTGCGCAGCGGCATGGCCGTTTGGTGCGTCGTCCTCGATATAACAGAAGTCCTGCCGACATAATCCTCGGCCATGGCAGTCGAGAACACCATCGGATTCAGGATACGTTGCTGGCTTGACAGCTGCTTCTTTAGATCTTCACGGACATGATCCAGATAGTGAGCCTTGGGAGTGATGTTGAAGAAAACCAGACCGTCGTTGTTGGTATCAAACGCGAGTCGAATGTAGTTGATCAGAAACTGATCCAAGCTATCCAACGCACGTCGTGCTTCGGTTGGAGTCATGAAGACCCGGTCGGCTTTAGTACATGTCCGCAAGAAATCATCGAGGCCTGAGTAGCTTTAAACATGGACAACATCAACATGAATCTGTTTACATGCACAATCTTCGCAACATGGCAAGCAATGCAACAAGCATGTCATGGCATGGGCAAGACACCATGAGCACAAGCAGACATGTTCTTGATGTACTTGTTGTGGTGAAAAGGTCGCCCCAGATAGTCCACGAGCCACGAGAGCATCAAGTACGTGTCCGAAGCCTTGAAGCTATTGGAAGGCATGCTTTCCGGGCCTTTCCAACCGAGATTCTCTCTCGACCAGCTCTTAACCATTGGGGTCTTCTTCAAGACGTGCTTGCAGAAGTGCTTGAAATCGTTGTAGGCTTCATTAATCCTCACAGGAATGCCTCGCCCGAGAGCCTGGTCCTTGGGAATAAAATGACCCAGATATATCAAGAAGCAAATTGCAGATGACAAGAACGTACGACCAATTCCCAAATTGACGAGGTGAAAAACATCTTTCGCCAAAAAGGTGGCCTCGCCGTTCCTGCTCAAACCAGCCAATGGCGGCTCACTAACCCCTGGGACCTCCTGACCCACTGTAGCCCTCCAAGAAGCTGAAGCACGAACATCAGTGAATGGGACCGTGTTCCCATCGGCCAAACACCATGGACACATGGCATTCGGAACACGCAAGAAATTTCGCTTGCAATGAAAAACCTTTGCCTGAGCAGGGAGGTCACCTTCCAGACTTATAAAGCATAAGAAGAAGGTTCCATATTTGGTGGCGATACCAGTCTCCATAGCCGATTTTGCTTGCTTTGCTAACTCCTCCATCAGTGCGTCCAGCACTTCGTTGCCCCATTCCCAACCCATATTGTGCTCCCGGTAAGCTTNNCAGTCCAAAAAAAATATCGGAGCCAACTTGCAGCACCAGATGCGAGGACTGGTCCCCACGAGCACTGGAGAACTGCACTCTTCCGAACTCCAGTACCCTCATCTATATGAAATTTGCAAGGAATACAATATCTCAGGTTGTCTTTGGAATGGACCTCGAAGACTTTGCTATCGGGCTGAACTTGACCAAAGGTCCTCCAGAATCTCAGAAAAAGTCCTTGTGCTGCTTCCACCGAACGACCTGCAAAAAGCTTCTCCTCGTAGCTACGGAAGATCTCCTTGGCCATATCTTGTATGCGTAGAATAGGATGCTGCTCCGTGCCATCACCATGGGGAGATGCCACTGATACATGAGAGATTGGAACACGGAGGGCGAAACCACGCTTGGTCACAGCATTATTGAAGTTGCGGGCCTTGTTCTTGCTTGTCTTGGATTCAGCAAGCTTAACCAGAATATCTTGTCCATGATGGCCAGGCAACATTGTTTCTGCTGTGTTGCATGCATGAGAACTGGCACTGCTGGCAGTCCCATCCTTTGCATGTCGATGCAACAAGCAAAGCACAAGCATAAACCATGCACAACAACAGCAAGCTTGCTTGGTCTCTTGTATGCATGATTGAAGTGCAACAGCAGTTATTGTCCTGCTTTGCTCATGTCGGTGATGCTGAAACATGTTTTGTTGTTTGGCTACTGGTGCTGCAGATGATGTCTGCTGTGGTCGTTATTGTTGTTTTCGTTGTC